AAAAAAAAAAAAAAAAACAAAAAACCAACGACATAAATATGCATTTCAATTCCTCACAAATCCCTTAATTCAAATATAAATGAAAAACCTTTTAATTTTACTCGTATTAATTTAAAAAAAAATTCAAATCGTCTATATTTAGTGTGCAAAACCACGAACTTTTCTTATATTCATGATGATGAAGGCCAAAAACACTTACAGAAGAAAAAAAAATATAAATCCCGAATTAAATAAATAAATAAGAACGAAATCATTGCCAACAAGATCTCAAATGAATAAATTTTGATTCAAAGAGACATACACGCATCAAAATCATAAAATTAAGGAAAATATATGGAGAGAGAAATATATATATATATGTTGAAGATAATATATGAGAAGCAAAATATTTCAATGTATAAATTAAATAGAAGAAAAGGGTGAAGAAGGACTTACACAGATATAGATGGGGCAACTCCATAACAGGACGGGGTAGCCAAAGGAGAAGAAGATCCAACAAGCTGATGATGTTGTTGGTGATGGAGATTTGAAGACTCCATGATAATGATAAATATATAATTAATTGAAAGTCTTGAAAATCCCAAGAAAAAATTAAAAGCTATAGGTAGCTACTCATAAGCTGCAATTACTGGAGGGAATGATTCTCTCACACTAATCAAAACAAACAGAAACTCAGGTGACAACCACAAATATCCTCTCAGTTGTTCACTTCCCAGTTTCCTCTCTTTACTCTTTCGGTGTTTATTCGATCTTGAAGTGTCCTTGAAAAGAAAGAAAGAAAGAAAGAAAGGGAAAGCTCTAATTTAAAAAAAAAAATTTTTTTTTTTCTTTTCCTATGTCAATTACAGGAAGATGATTATATATAATTCCTATATGCTATGATTAAGATCCCTTGTTACCTTCAATCCCAAGACTTTCAACAAAGGTCTGAGGAGAGAAATGATAGTCCCCACCTGTTCATAGCCCTTTATATATTGCTTTGTACCATGAGTACCCTCCAATCAATATTTTGTTTTTTTTTTTCTTTTCTTTTCTTTTCTTTTCTTTGTTGTGAAAAAAAAAATGATAAAAGGATAAAAAGAGAAAAAAAGGAGAGGATAGAAGAGCAGGGAACGTGAATAGAACAGGGTTATGTTGGGGCAGAAAATGAGATGTGGAATTAGGACAACAGAGACACGATCAGTACTCATATGTTATAACTTCAGGAATTATCCGGACTTAATTATTTTATTTTATTTTATTTTTTGAAATTATCTTGTTATTTCTTTTGATAGCGACTTTATGATTTGAAACTATGAAGGCAAAAGAGAATAGAAAACAATGTCATTATTAATTTATGAAATTTTTATGACTCAATTAACTGTTAATTAATAGTTAATAATCAATGATGATATTACAATGTCATTTTACTCTTTAACTTTAATTTCAATAGCAATCAACAATGCACTGAATATGGTTGCTTATCATACTTCGACACGGAGATTAGGATATCTTGTTTGTCTTAATTAGCATAGGCTATAAGTAATTGAAAAAGTTATATATAGGGGTGCTTTTGTTGTGATTATTAAAATAGGCCTTATATATGCTTAGGAGTTAGGATGGAAATTGAAAAGTTATATTTATCTAGTTACAAATTAATTCTTGTATCAAGATTTTATAATGATGTTTGACTGATTAATTTCTTAAAAATATAAAATTCTTAGTGGCAAACAAAACAATCCTAACCCTAGAATCTATAGCCATTGTCCAACACATAATCGCATCATACACCTGTAATTTAATGGTACATCTCTTTAATCATATTATATTAATCTAATTTGTATTAGTTTTCTAAGAAAAATTGTATTATCTACAACATAGTGTAAGGAAAAAATAAATAAAAAGCAGAAAGTAATTTGGTGACAATATTTTTTTCAAAGCAAGTATTCAAGATAGTTAAAAAAAACATTAAAAATGAATACATGCATACTAATATACACATTCTGCCAAATAAAAGAGTAAACAATAAAACTGCCACGTATAGGTGAGGTGAGTCGCAGAGTAAAAAATAATTAAATCTCTCCATAAATTAATTAGTTATTATTTATTGGCAATTTATTAGTTCAAATGAAAGGTGATTGATTATTTATAGGTAAGATTTCAAATTTAAATTTTATAAATGAAAAATAATTGTTAAAAAAGTTTCTTTTCATAAGATTTAATGTAATTTAATTTTAAATTAATTAAAATTTAATATAATTTTTAAATATCATAAAATTAATAAAAAAAATTATTACTCTTGTCTTCTTTTGACTAAAAAAGAGAAATAAAATATTATTAATTAAGTACGATTAAGAAGTGATTATTTAAAACTTGAACCAATCAGGCCCACAAAAGTTCACATCAGTGAAAAAGTTGGATGGGAGAATGTGAGATGAGACAGAGTATGGGCAAATGGCCTTTTCTTTGGTAGCTCTTTATTTCATCTCTTGAAGCACGCCCACCCATCTTACACCTTACATTAAATCTTTTATTTATTTCTTCTACTTTATGTAAAAATGTATTTTTGTTCAAAGCTTTTCTTCTTTATGGGGGGAGAGAGTATAGCTTTTCTTTGCTTGTCATATTTCCTCAGTCTCACTATCTTCCAAGATTCATTTCAGAAAAGCTGTCTCTCTGCATCAGATTCACATATGACATCAATTAATTCTCTCTCTTTTTTTTCAATTAACTTCTTACTCTTCCACTTTCATTTCATGAATCTTAAAAGGGCATCCCTCCCACCAAAAGAAAACCTATACGTATTATAACTTCCATATATAGCTTAAGATCATATATGTATTTAGTCACCTACTGATCATGGTTACTTATCTTGCATTGTGTTAATTAATTTTGTCTAAACTTGGGATTTTATGCATTAGAGTTACGGTTGAATTAACATGCTAATGACTAAGATTCGACAG